ATAATAATAATAATAATAATAATAATAATAATAATAATAATAATAATAATAATAATAATAATAATAATAATAATACGCAAGCTAATTCACATGATGTTCATCAACCTCCATCATCCAATTTAATCCGAGAACCGATATCAATTGCACAACAACCACCACCTCCATTACTCTCTTCTTCACAAACATCTGTATGATTATCCCTTTGAGGGTCTACTATCTATTGCTCTTAAATTCTCTTATTATATTATTGATTTATTGTTTATGAAATTATATATTTAGGTACCACCACTAAATAATAATGAACCTGAACCATTACGACATGAAGCTCCTTCATCTAATCAGGGTCCATCATCACCCATGGAAAGTCGTTTCCCTGCCGCTCTTTCGGATTTAGTTGCTTCCTTCGAAGCAGCTAAAGAAAAATGTAAGCATGCTCACTAATTTGTATTTGATAATCAAAATTGATCCAATTATAATAACGATTAAATAAAACGATTGATTGGTTCATTTTAGCTTTAAATAAAGACGACGGTTTCCATGTTCAACAAATGCTCGATGCCAGCTTAGAATTTGTACCTGAAAGTTTGGATTCTGAAAGGTTTAATGAATTTAATCTTTTTCGAAAAAGATTTCTTTTTATGTGTAGACATTAACATTTTAATACGATTTTACAGACCTAAATACTATGCACCACGCAATCCATACCCGACTCCACAATACTATCCACAAGCACCGTTAACAATATTTGATAATCCAGCTCTGTTCGAGAAATTTGATCTTGACACTCTATTTTTCATATTCTACTATCAACAAGGAACTTATCAACAGTTCGTATTATTTTTATTATGCAAATTCAATGTGTTCAAAAATAATACAAAAAATAAAAACTAACAAACATAATGTTTTCTTAAATTTTTATTGATGTACAGATATCTTGCCGCGCGTGAGCTAAAAAAACAGTCATGGCGATTCCACAAAAAATACCTGACATGGTTCCAGCGACACGAAGAACCTAAAGCAATAACAGACGAGTATGAACAGGGTACATATATATATTTTGATTACGAAGGTGCATGGTGTCAGCGGAAGAAAACAGAATTCAGGTAAATACAATATTTTTTAAGTTTGTCATGATTATCGTTGTTGTTAAAAGGGAAGTGTATGTCCTTCCTTTTTTAACCGATTTTTTTATCTTGCTTCCTAGATTTGAATATCGTTTTTTGGAAGATGCTGAATTAATATAATTAGATTTAAATTTAAATTTGATCGATCTTTCATTTTCTAAATTGATTGATAATTGTTGGGCTGATCAATTCAACTTTTCATGAAATTTTTTAGCTGCTGAATAAATCTGTATATTGAAGTAATACAATTATTACAAGATCCGAAAATTGAATAACGAAAGTAAAATTAAAGTTTCCAAAACAACTATCAATTTAATAATAAATCATGTAATTCATCATTTAAAGAACTTGAAAAATTTGTGTGTAGTCAAAATTTTAATTAATTTTATATATAAAAAAAGTTATATGAACCAAATAAGATCTTTCTATCTTCAGTACTTTTCACATACTGAATAATATAACAAAGCATGACAAAATTTACACCATTTTATTTCACTTATAGATAACAAGCTATAAATTCATTAGATTTCAAACTGCAACTATTAGAAAATTAAGAAGTTACAGTAAATGAAATTATAAAAGAGCTTGTATAATAGTAAATAAATTATAAATTAATAGAATATTAGCTCAACAAAATGTGCAAAAATTCCAACATAAGGATCTTATTAACAAGATAAATATTCACAAAATTTTTTTATTAGAGATAAAATTTTAATAAAGAAAATAAAAATGTAATATTGGAATTATAAAAATTTTCACAAAAATAGAAAGAATCATTTTATATTTATAAAAAACTTGATAAAGATGCTTACTAATTAAGAATAATAAATAAAAAATTACTCAAAAATCCTTATAACAAAGATTACTTGAAATATTATTTTGATAATAACCAATTGAAATTAATTATCATAATTTAAAATTAATCTAATTAAAAATCAATAAACTAAGTTTTGAGTTAATTAAAAAATAACAAAAATAATTTTAATTAAAAAATATTATTATTTTAAATTATATTATTCAAGAAAAACTATATATAAACAATTTACTTGAGTATTATATATTTGTGAATTAAAAGAATAAAGAACTTCATCACATTGTGAAAAAT